ACATTCTGAATTATAAAGGCACATGACATTTTGTACAGATAATTATATTTTCAGTCTGTCAAAGTCAAGCAATTATAATGCTCAAAAAAACATTATGCAATGAAATACATGAAAAAAAAAGATTTTGAGCACTCTAAAGTATGTATCATTTTAGGATGGATTTTAGAATGTATTTTAACATTAATTTTTAATGTAATGGATTAAAGAATTGTTTTAGACAAATTCCATTTTTTAATGGGAAGGTACTCTATATATGTTTGGTACAGACCTCACAGAATTATTTACTGGTCAAATAATATCATAGTATTGAATTTAACAAGTTTAGCCTTTTCTCTTACTGGTTTTCTTAATGGGAAAATATTTGTAGCTTATTGGTGTTATTTCTTCTTAACATATAAGAACACCAGACCCTGGTCTCTAAATGAGTAAGCAGTAGGTCAGACATTTTATTTTGTTTTTGTAGACAGATGATTTGTCCATATTCAGGCATCTGTGGCCTTTTTGATAATGAATGCAAAAAGACTGATCATATGATTTGGTTTTGCTCGATGATTAAGTGACATGAACCCTTACAATAAGATTTCTAGTTTGAATACATGTTAAAAATCCATTTTATCTGAGCATTCATTTAAACTCTGTTGTTTTGTTCAATATAAATTACCAGCCAAACCATTCTTTATATACATATCTGATTAATACATATATAGGATCTGAAAATACAGGATAACTAAATTAATTTTAATGGGTGAACCTTTACCGAGTAATACTCTTCTAGAGCTGACTGGGATCACTTTATTAATTGAATAGCTTATTCTCCAGCTAGGAAAAATACTGAGATAGTATTTAATCACTTATTCCTTTCTGTGTTTTGTCTTTTCTACTTAGCATAAATTTTTAATATACAGTACCTTTATCCCAATCCACTCTGCCAATAAGGAGCTAGAGGATGCAGCTAAGCCTATTCTTGGGAAGGGGTTAGGGTAGAAAGATAAGGATCAGGTCCAGCAGCATATCAGATGACTGACTGTAATGAGGATTGATTCTGTGACCAAATCAAATAGTTAAAGCTCCCAGCCCTTGCTCTATCAAAGAAGAACCAACACTCTTACATGGTGCAATCTGGACATCAAGCCAGGCGGAAACTCAGTCAACTAAAAACTGGAGAGGCAAGAGCAGCTAATGAAAATCACCCTCTGCTCCAATGCAAAGGCAGAAATGAACGTAAACCACCTGGCTGGCCTCTTTGACTTTAGACTGGGATGGATTACAGCAAAAAAGACACATAAGCACCTGCAACAGCTGGGATATGGCCATCGTGTTCCACATGTTACCTCTCAGCTGAATCCTGTTGTGTCCAAATTAAGATGTTGAGTCAGAAAGCTCATTAGGTACAGACTAAGCAAGGGGTGTGAGCATATGTGCTCTAAGGACTGCACAGTGTATCCACAGAGGAAAGGTGGAAGTCTGAGATCCAACCTGCCAGGGAGCCTTTAAAGTTTTCCACCCCACTGGAACCTTTTGTTTCATGTTGGCTTAGCCTGATCTGGGTCAAGGACATGAGAGTGGTTTGTACAAGGCTGACAGTCCTGCTCACTCACGAGTGAGCCCATTTGGCTTCCTGTGGAAACCTAGGAACAGGCACATCAAGTTTAGTAATACATTTATTCTAGTTACTTATTCTGAATTATAGTGAAAAGCTGTAATGAGGGAAAATACTCTTTTTCTGCTCCTGAAGATAATTCAAATACTGATTAACAAACATTGATTTGTGGATAAGCAAAGTCTATCTACCATTTATGAAATTACAGTATATAAGGAGGGATGACTTAAGCACATAAGATTGTGGTTATACCTAAGCTAATCAAAGGATACCAAATGTATATATGAAATACAGAAAAACCATTGCACCTTCAACTGCACGTGCATTACACTTGAACAAAACAGAACCATTCCACAGAAGGCCCATAGTATTTATAGATGTTAGGACAGAATAGCTAAAGGCTCTGGGACTTGGGTTCCATTTTTCTACAATGTGTGTGACTCTTCTCCTTGTCCAGTACAAAGAGAAATACTAGCCCAAATCGTCTGGCCAGGCTGCTTAAATGTTCAAATGGAGTGTATAAGAAGTATTCCAGACTTGAGAGTCCTTGCTCAGATGCATTTGCAACCTAAGGGAAAAGAGGAACAGAAGTTGAATTACCCTCACCTTAGAGGGAAACTAAGGCAATGTTTTATGTCTATGTAAATAGCAAGTTACTTGTGTCCCTCTGAAGTCTGAAAATTAGACTGCATGAAAGGGGAAGCTTGGAACAGAGCCCGTATTTTCTATATCCCAGTACTGTACAATAGAACTGTCTGCTGGCTAGTGAACAGTCAAAAATGAAAGTTAAAATATGGAAAAGTTAGTAAAATGCCATCTTAGTCTCTTTTTTTCAAGCCTAAGAGCTTTTAAGAAACTTCATTTGAGATTCCACAAGTATTTATCTTATGCAAACATCACTGTGCATTAAAGGAGTTTGTTCTTGTTCTAGTAGCAATCTTGGTTGTCATCTGATTTCACTCACAAACCACTTTAGGCTTTGTAATAAGACTCTAAGGTATCTGTAAAAGCAATCATTTCAGAAGCAAGTACTTGTGCCTGGAGTGTCCTTATATACTGGTATCAGTAATAATACAGCTGGTAATTTTACTTTGCTTTCACTCAATGATCTGAGAGCAAAATGCTATGAATATAAAGTCTGTGAGGAGAGCCATGCAGTTCAATGCCAGATTTCTAAACCCTCTTAGTCTTTTCAATATGTTGATGGTAACCTCCAAATGGGAGGATTGCAACCTGCTCTATAAAACTCTAGAAATACAAAACAGCAGCAAACTTTATGAAGTAATGTCTGCTTTACATGGCATGTTAAACAAATAATAAAGTAAAGCAATGATTGTTTAATGTAAAAGTATATTGAGGAGAAATATATTAAAGTGTCTTTAATATGACTGCAGTAGGTTTCAGAGAGTGATGAAATTTCTTGGGGAAAACTGTAAACTGGTTAAATGAGACTGTGACCTCATTAAGTTTTTATGTGGGTATGTTTTTGTTAACACACACCTTGTTGGCAATCTTTTTTTTAACTTTGTAATCTTGCTATTACAAATGCCCCATTGATCAAACACCAAGCTCAAGATCTAGAGACAATTGTTGTAACTAAGTCATGACATAGGAAAACTTAAAAGGATGACTGTAGATTTTCACTGAAAATTTATCAAAGCTCAGTCAAATTACTGTCTTGTACTCTATTTTTTGCTACTGTGTATTCTAATGCCTGAATTAGCACAACTCCTAATTTTGCTAGAAAACTTTCCAATGCTATGCAATCTACTTTTGTTTTTGTTTTACTTTTAATTCCCCAACGGCAGAAGTTTCATATTTCACCCAGGCACTGGTAATTAGCCAAGGAAATTATTTAAAATGCCAGATGTCACATATTAAATATAAATAACCTATGACCTTGTGTGCAGAATGCAAGCCTCTTTCCTATATGACTGCTGAATTTAATCTTCAACATAGGCTCTATACTGAAATATTATCTTCTGTAGAACACCATTCTGCTTGCTTAAACAATGGATGTGCCTTGTTAGTTGGAAGAGACATGAAGGCTGTGATAATTTTGTTTGTATGCCATTTGCAAATGAATTTAAGGATACACATTGAGCAAAAAATGTCCCTTGTTGTACTCATGCTTTCTTCAATAGCAGCTGTAAAAGGCATAACCATTGCTGCAGCCAAGGAACACTATCTGCTCAATCCAGGAATCTTTCTCTGGGCTTCCTCATCTGCCCTTTCTATGCCACGCTGGTGTGTGGGGCTTTTAAACAGGTCCAGATTCAACCACAAACAGGAATGAGATCAAGCACATGAAATGCAACCTTCTGTGTTATATTCCTAATTCGAGGCTGTTTGGTTGATTGAATCATGCAGAACGAATGCCTGACCATGCATCTTGCAAAGCCTATTCTGGCTGGAATTGCACAGCTGGCTTTGATTTGCTGCCCATAGGAAGGGGGGAGGAATCCCTATTACTCCAACACAAATACAGATCTGGGATGTGGCTGCAGATCCAGAATTCCTAGCTATCCAGCATCGGATGATGTGTGGAAAATAAAACACAGCACAGTGTAGCCCTCAGGTTTTTGGAGTCGAAAGTCACAACACGCCTAAAAAATAGCCACAGTTTGGAAAGGATTCAAATACCACAGGAAGCACGTTCCTTCCTTCTCGAGTCACATGCAATAACTCCAGCTCCTGACCAGATCAAGGTGTATCCCCATCTGGATGCAATAATACAGCCTAGAAGAACAAGGACAGAAACCACCTATGCATATTAAATAAATGAATAAATTAAGGAAACTTCTCCTCACAAAACCACAAGTGAAATAAAGTTGCCCTTGTTACTGCCACCGTTTCCTTTCTCAGTAGCCAACAAAAGCCAAATCAGCCATCCATGGCCTGGACCTCAAGCCCAGAGGTTGACATAATTCCCTGGAAATTGATGTGAGCTTGCTCACGTCAGTTGTTTTACCAACTCACTCCCAGTCACACCCCAATTGCTCTTTAGAGGTTTGAAGGTGCATTTCTTTTTACAGTTTCAAATGCAGAAAGGATGTGCTTTCTGGTGCAGTACAACAGAGTCAGCAAAATGAAAGCTATGGTGAAGACAAGATAAAAAGAAAGGATGATGTTGGCAATGGAAGTACTGAACTCAAAGACATACATCTGCTTTTGAAGTTAAAACCTTTATGAAGTTTACTGTAAATAACTTAACTATACCATCTTATTTTTTACATATTCTCTAAATTCTTACCTTGTCATGTCATAACCAATTACCCTGTTTATTTTAGGACATATAGTCCATTTTCTTTTTCAATTGAGAGCAGTAGGTAGGACTAAAAGCAATACCTAATGTCCTGCTTATATCATAGCTTTCTGAATTAATAGTTGAGACAAGAAAAAGGGGGGACAAGATTTATTTTACAGTTAAGGGAAATGAACAAGTAGTTAATATTAAAATATTTAATTTAGCATATTCATTAGAAATATACTCCGAGCATCTTATCAAAGAACATGGATCAAATACTTGTGTTCAAGTCCACCCTTATGAAGAGAACAAGTTTGATTGTACTTCTCACCAGGGACATGCATAATGAATAATCTGCTGGTATAACAGAACAGGAAACTGCTGTGGTTGCTCCATTTGCTGTAATCTGACACAACAATTATTTAACAATAAGACAAAGTCTAATTCAGCTGCTTTGAAATGCAAAAGATTACCCCCAAGTTTTTAGACAAAAAATAGCTGTTAAATGTCATTTTATGTATAGTGTATTTTACTGACTCGTTCATCGTAGATCTGTTTTCATTCATGAATGTATGAGGGTTTTTCTTAACCACAGTTAATCCAATTACACATACTTTTCCAGCTTGTCTTGCTATGTGACCTTGGATTTAGAGATAAAAAGAGGCTACAGGCCAACTGTCTGTGAGCTCCTTATAAAGGTTTGGGCTTCCTTCAGAAAAGGGAATTGTCTACCCTAAGAAGAATATGAATCTTTGGTTTAAGTGTCGTAAGAACAGTAGCTGTAGCTGCTCATGTATTTTCAGTAAAGAAATAGCTAGTGGCATGTGGGAAGTGATAATGGCAAAGACAGTGCTTTGCAAGATAAGTAAAAAACATATGGCTGCTTTTGCACTAGAAGCAACTTCCCATTTTGGGCAAACTTGGGCAAACTCCTGCTGTCCTAAGTTCTGCAAAGTATTTTTTAATATGTGTTCTGTTTGCTTTAGAATTGCAATGTCACAAAGTGGCTTTTCATTTTGGCTTGCTTTCTTCAGCACAGATTACTGACCTCCCTCAGAAGTGCACAGAGAGACAGAATTCACAGAGAATTGACTGCAGTCTCTTAAGGGCCTCTGGACTGAGGATTATTCACTGTAGCTAATTCCTCTTCACACGAGCCTTCTTGTCTCACTTTCATTCACAGGCTCTAAAGAGAACATCCAGGTACAAATGTATGTCTGGGATTACGACATGCCTGTTGGGATCTGTCTAAACAGCAACAAATATGGAAACGTATTTGTTTCCATACAATATTAATCTGGAGATGGCCACAGAGTCACAACACACTAACTCGTTCAGATGATTTTTTAACTGAGTAATGAAACCTTAGAGGTAGCGATGATATATTTCTGGTTAGTAGGAGTTTCACATCCCATAACAAATTAAACTGTGAATATTACATATCAGGCTATAAGCAAACTTTACTAATTGTGAGTAGTAGTTTAAATCCCATCCATGCCCAAATTTCAGCAAAAACCTAAAATCTTCCTAGATCATGAAGGATTAATATTTTACTAATTCCACAGCACACAGTGACTGTTTCATTAAGTTGGAACCATAGAATAGACTCACAGAATCACTTAGGTTGGAAAAGAGCTCCAAGATGATTGAGTCCAGCCTTTGACTGATCACTGCCTTGTCAACCAGCCCAGAGCACTGAGTGTCTCGTCCAGTCATTCCTTGGATGCCTCCAGGAATGGTGATTCCACCATCTCCCTGGGCAGCCCCTTCCCATTCCTGACAATCCTTTCCATGGAGAAATTCTTCCTGATGTCCAACCTGAACCTCTCCTGGCATAGCTGAAGACCACATCCTCTCATCCTGTTGCTGATTGCCAGTGAGAAGAGGCTGACCCCCACCTGGCTACACCCTCCTTCCTGGGAGTTATAGAAAAAGGATAAAGTCACCCCTGAGCCTCCTCCTCTCCGGGCTAAACCCCAGCTCCCTCAGCCACTCCTCACAGGACGTGTGCTCCAGACCCTTCACCAGTTCTGTTGCAGTTCTCTGGACATGCTCCAGCACTTCAATGTCTTTCTTGAAGTGAGGGGCCCAGAACTGGACACAGGACTCAAGTATTAAGCTCCCCTCAAGTTGCTGTATGACTTCTTAGAGTGCAAATTCCAGACACATCAGGACAGTTACAGTTTCTATACTGCCATCTCCTGCAGGAAACAGATGCTTATGCTGCAAGAAAAAATTCTACATTGTATTTTGCCCTTCTTTTTGTCTTTTCATCTTAGTGCAAGGCAAAACTATAGATTATGGTATGTTGTCATGCAGGCGGAGCACCCTGAAGCTGCTGTGATCTTTCTGCTGACTGCTGGGCTCCCTATTGATGACATACATTGCTAAGGAATACTTTAATTAGTTTCCTTATAGTTAAAAACTTTTACATGCAGATCTCACAAAATGCAAGAGTGAGAAGACACTATTCCATGCTTTAAAATTCTTTTTGGAATTGGTTTTGGAGGAGAATTCCCCACAGTTCTACAGCCTTGGTGCAGCAGCTGTACTGACCAGAAAGTGAAGTGCATGAGGAAGTGCCACAGTGCAAGGCAGGGTGGCTGGGCAGTGGAACGGGCTCCCGAAGGAAGCGGTCACACACCAAGCATTGCCTTGCATTCCAGGAGTGTTTGGACAAGGTTCTCAGGCACATGGTGGGGTTCGTGGGGTGTCCTGTGCAGGCCAGGAGCCGGGGGATCTTTGTGGCTCCCTTCCAGCTCAGTATTCCTGTGGTTCTACGTTTGCTTGAGTGCCAGTGTTCCCACTGAGCCGGAAGGCAAGTAGCGAACAGCTTGGGGTCCTGGAGCCAGCATTTGTTACCCAAGCGACATTCCTCAGCTTACGCCATCCTACCTAATTGTCCCAGTCATTAGCTGGTGCCAAGTGCACCACCTATTTCCATGCGGTGTTTTAGACAGTAAGGCTCCGGGCGCCGCAGGGGAATCCTGCTCCTCTGCTCTGGCGTGGGGCGTTCTGCGCGCTGCAGAGGGGTCACACAGCGGGACCAGGACCGGAGCGGGACCGGAGCGGGGCGGGCGCTGCCCGGCGGCGCCGGGACCGACACGTGGCACCGCGCCCCGCGCGGCCCCGCCCCCGCGCCGCTGGCCGCGCCCCATTGGCCGCCGAGCGCCGACTACAACTCCCGGCAGGCCTCGCGGCGCGGGGGCCAGGCGCTCCGTCCCTGTCCCTCAGTCCCGCGGTGGCGCGGGCGGCGGTGGCGGGGCGCTGGCGGTGCCGTGACGTCACCGCGACGTCACCGCGGGAGGGACGGACGGACGGACGGAGGACGCGCGGACGGGCGGGGGAGGGCCCGGCGGGGCGGGCCGGGGCGGGGGGCGCTGCCCGGGGCGCGGCGCGGGGGCGGGTCCAGCCCAGCCCGGAGTAGGCGCCCGCCCCCCCCCGAGTGACAGAAGCGCCCGGGCACCGGAGCTCGCGCTGGGGCCGCCGCCGCCGCTCGCGCCGCCGCCCCGCCTCCGGCCCCTCCGCCGCCCGGTGTTATGCGGCGGTCCTGAGGGGCGAGCGCAGCCCGGCAGGACCCGGCGCGGCCCTGAGGGGCGACGGGGTCTCGCTGCGCCTCGCCGGCCAAACCCATGACTACGGCAAACTGCGGCGCCACCGACGAGTTCGACTTCAGGCTGATCTTCGGCGAGGACGGGCAGCCCGGCCCCGGGCCGCCGCTGGGGCCCGCAGGTGCGCCCCGGGGTCGGGGGGGGTCGGCCGGGTTCCTGTTTTGCTCCGAACGAGGCGGGGAGGGCAGCGGGGACTGCGCCGGCCCCGGCGCTGTTGGAGGCGGCAGCCCGGGGGGAGCGGCGCCGTCCGTCCGTCCCTCAGGCCGCGGCCGCTTCCCGGCGCCGCTCCCGTTCCTCCCGCGGGGCGCTCGGCCGGGCCTCTCCCGCCGTAACAACTTTCTTTGGGGAAAGAAACCCAAGAGCTCGCATCGTGCGGGAGGAGCCGCCCCGGGCGCGGTGGCGCCGGCGGGGAAAAGGCCCCGGGTTGGCTCCGGTGGCCCCACGCCCCCCGAGCCCGGGCAGCGCGATGGGGCCGCGGAGGGACGGGCAGAGAGCAGCACGGCGTTAACGGGGCCGGACCCGGGCAGTGTCCGGGTACTTGTGGTGAAAAGTTTCAAGCGAAGTGTTCCCCGTATATAGAACATCGCAGTGACTCCAGCGTGCTCCGCGGACTTTGTGTACGTGTGCACGGGCGAACCCCGCGTGTCGAGGTGTGATGGCTCTGGGTCCGAGTGTACAGATGCACGCATACATCTGAGTGCTTCCATTTTACTTTGTTTTCTAGTACCGGCGCCTCAAAATCCTGTTTTAAAATGCTCGTATTTCTTGAAACTGTAGAAAACAAAGTACTCCCTGTGAATTGTGGCGTAAAGAATCAATAAGGACCAGCTGTGCCTTGTTTAGCCGTACCAGAGTTTGATGACTGCGTGCTTTATTTTCTAACATACTTGAAATAAGTTTAATTGGTAATGGACTGTCTTATTTCTAAGTGTTAGATGATAAGATAGCTCTGAAACACGGCTGTATCCAAGCTAAATGATGCAGCCATGTTGTTTGACTCGGTTGTCTGCCTAAGTTAATTAGAAAAAAAATTGTTTGATAAGTGTGTGTGAAAGCACTCAGGATTAACTTCTTAGAAAATCCCTAACTTTCTTGATTTGCAAATTCGTTCAGGTCAGGGAAGGCTTTGTCTGTTTTCCATCTCAGTACAATAGCAGATGGTGTGTTTTGTGAAGGGGGCCTGAATTCTGCAATCTAGATAAGTGCATTACAGTACTGTATGAAAACAATGGAAAACATGTGAACAAATGACAACAAAAATAATTTTGACACCCTCATTTCTATTATTTTGACATAGATCTGGTTGTCTAAACTATGTTGCTTTGTCAATGATAGATGAGAATGAGAGAACAAGTTTCTCAGAAAACTGGAAATAGTGGAGTGGTATCAATTCACTGTTATATTTGTATTGGGGTAGCAGTCCTTAACAAGCAGTTCAGATGTTACTCTGAATACAGAAAGTTTTCCATGCTTGATAAGTCAAAACTATTCTTATGTCAAATTTAAAAATGTGATATTTGGACCATGAACTAGTTTGTTTGCAGTAGCTCTCAGTAAGAAATTCTACATCTGAAACTCAAGTAATTTTACTGCTTTGTAGAATTCTGGAGATGATCTTGCCTGCTGTGCACAGATGTGGCCTTCGGGGGAAAGGGTTAGAGTAAGACTCTGCCTTCATGTATTCTGTTGCAAGAATTGCCAGAGAGCTCATCTGTTTATTCTGCCCATGTATTTTACACATGAAGAACTAGAATTCATATGAGAGGTCCCATATTGGAAATCTATTTTTCCCTTACCCCTCTTCCAAATACGTTAGATGAACATAAAAAAAAGTTTTTAGAGCTCCGTAAAGCATCTATTTCATAATCCCATATCACTTCCTCCCTTGGTAGTGTCTGTTGTGCTGTAAAGTAAGCATAAGGGTATTTTTTTTTAAATGTATGCTAATAATAAAACATGTAGGTCACAGGGAAAGTTGCTTAATTTGAAATAAATAATACTAAAATTACTAGCTTTTCCATTATCATGGAGAACACCTAAAACACATTCTGATCCTTCATGCTTTGTCTCTAGAAGTTTGAGACTGGCATTCTGATGAAGGAAGTGTTTGGTACTAAGTTCTTGTGCAAATAACATGGAAATCTATGTTAATAGTGTCTTTTATACTGAGACTACTCTAGTGTTGTGAGGATTTTATCCTTTTATATATGTACACGTATAAGTAATACAGTTACATATTTATATTTAATTGTATTTGTAATCAAAAGCAAGGAAAAGTGAGCTATTCTTTCATTTCCTTGAAATACTTTTCATATCTGAATTACTAAGAAAGTGGTAGTGCCAGGCAGTAGATTACCCTTTTTATGATATTAAAAGAACAGTAAGAGAAATTAAATCAGCTGGGATCTTTAGTTATTACACAGAACAATTTCAGTGAGTTTCAGGATATCAGGACTGGCATTCGTAGTTTTGTGCTAAGTGGCAGGACTTGAGAACTCTGTTCTGCATTAGTGCATATTTTCTGGATCTGAAAGTTTCAGAGGAGAATGCATGAAAGAAGATGTGTGAAGATGCTTGAAATCCCTAGTGTAATTCTGCAATCCTTGAAGCATACTTGGATTGAAATTAAAGGGGTAGCCCATTTTGGGTAGTTTTTGAGTGGAGTAAGAATTTGCTCAGGTAATTGCTAAATTAAAGATTCTCAAAAGCTCTTCAGCTGCTTTTAACTGGATGTTAGGTACTGAGCAAGAGTTTGTGCAAACTCTTGCTTTCTGTTTCTCTGATTGTTCAGTGTCCTTATCCCAAAGAACAAAGTAATTGTCACTTTGGTTTTGTTGTGTTAAGCACTAAAATTGCAATTCTAGGTACTGATGAGATTAATCTTTTTATGACCAAGAAATTCAAGCCTTCAGTGTCCAAAGGCAATGCTATAGATCACTCTGAAGTTAACCAAATCTCTTTGGTGTGCTCTTTGTTGCAAAATTTTGGGTAGCTGCAGTAGCATCTGATTGCATCGTGCCACCTTGTATCAGCTGCATTTGAAATGTCTAAGTCAGCATGTGCATTACAGTATGTCCAGGTCCTCTAAAGGCTGCTGAAAGAGACTGGCATGCAACTGGCAGTGACAGTGTTTGATGTGCCACCTGGTTTGGTCTTTTTGATGAAGAGACCTTTGGGATGTAATATGTGGCACTTGAGTAATTGAGTTAGTTTGACTGCTTTTGTAATGATGCCCCGATTCCCTTCACCACCACCAGTTTTGCAATACTATTCAGTGTCATTTTGGGAAATTTGTCTAGAATTAATTAAGCACTTAAACTGCATTGAGGTTTTCACTGAGGACATGTTATACTTTTTAAATGCCAAACTTCTCAAAATGGAAGCAAATATGAGTTGCTATGATATTTTCTGGAGTTTTATTTTAGGGGTTCATCGTCTCTTTTAAAGAATGAGTTCTTATAAGGTAAAAGCTGTACTTGGAGTATATAGTACTAAGCTGGGAATTTGGGATCTTATAGGGTTCTGTGTCATGCAAAACTATTTCTTATTGGTGTGTGAAATCAGAACTAACTTAAAATTAGAGACTGCAAGCTGTTCATCATTCAGAAGATAAAGAGTTACAGATGAGTTATTGATGCTGCTGTTCAGCATCCTGCCTAAAATGTTCCTGTTATTTCTGATTAAGTATTCTAAGAGCTAAAGAGGGGCTAATGTTTTGTTACCCAGTGAAACAGTAATATGAGTTTCACCCTAACTTCTACCTTTTGTTCTTGGTTTATGAAGTAGAGAAGGAGAAATTAATATTTTAATATAAATAACCTTCCCTGGCTGATTTTGTTTATTTGCTTTCCCACAATATGAGTGCTTTAAAAGAACTGATCAAACTACCCTCCTTGGACTTCAGGTTCATAGTATTTATTTTATTTTATTGGAAATCATGAAACAAGCTAAAGATGGGTTCTTCGTATTTCCTGTGATTTAACATTTGGTTAGGTAATACTATTTGGTAATCTTGTTACAAATAAATCTTATAAAATCTCTTACTTTTCTTCTGAAGAGTATAAAAAACATCCCAGTTCTGTGATTAATTTAGTGACTGTTTAAGACATCTTTGTGAGCTGCAGCCTCATTCTGCATAAGGATGCTGTATCTGGATTTGTCTCTTCCATTGATTTGCAAACTTAGACTCCTGTTCTCCTCTGATATTTTTTTCCTTTCCCTTAGAGCTGGTAGGTTACTGATTTGTTACTGGACATCACGACTGAAATACACATTTTGCTGTAGTGACTGTCAGAGTAATACCTGATCTTTTCTTTTGAAGGTCTTCGTGTCAGACCTTTCTCTGTGAGCGACCATGGGCTGCTTGGGCTGCTCAGCAGTTGTCTCCTGCCCACATACTAAGTGCTCTGAAGTGAT